ATTTTCCTTTCTGAAAACAAAAATGCTGAAAGAATAAAGCCTGTATTTTTCTAATGAAAATAGAACTGTAGTTCTAGAAACTCCTGTTTTATTGAAACATTGAATTTTGTTACCAGAGTAAAAAGCAATCAAAATACTAGCAACATTAGCTTTGCATAAAAAAATGTCACCACCTGGACATGTGTGCTAACACTGATACACAGATAAAAGGTAACACTAGGATGAATAATGGCATCTCTATTGATATGACAAAACCAAAAAAATATCCAAATGTGTTATTTACGTTTCTAAAAATAAGAGCAAAACAAGATAATTAAACTGTGAAAAATAATCTGAGGCAGCATGTAGTACCTCTACTAATTTTAAAGACATTTTAAGACTGTCTGACCTTTACATACTTAAAAAAAAAATTTAAAGGTAACACCTTAATCAGCCACTAAATAGTAACCATACCCATTGACTGTTCCTTAATAAGCCCTTATTAGTAAATTGGCATATAACAAACCACAAATATATATGTTAGAAAAGATCCATCACTGGTTATTGTGAAGCTTCAATTACTTCTTCCTTCTGTTTCTATTTCATAATAAATTAATTCTGAAGTAGATATGGAAGTTGATACGTAAGTGTAGATAGCATTCAGAGGTAAGAAATAAGATTCCCTGACATTTTTCTTGCATTTAGCAGAAAAAAATAATATAGAATTTAGGCTAAAACAAAAGACATACCAACAACAATGAAATTTCCACACTTAGATATGCAGGCAGAAGATTCAATACGATCTCCAAGGTTCTTCTCCCATTTTATTTCTCCCAAATCTAGATCAATTGCCTGGATTGCATGAGAGTGAGAGCCAACATATACAGATGCAGATACTTCTTCTTTAGATGGTATTATAACCAGTGGTGATGCATCAACACATTTTCTTGTATTCGACTTCCACCTTATGCATAATGCCAACTCTGCTGTTGCTACATGACTACATTCTGCATGGATCTGCTGTACAGAGCAATAGTTGGTTTCATTTGCCTTGCTCGTATCTGTTAAAATTCCATTCTCCAGTTCATACCCTTGTGTGTGGCTTTTTGTTACACTTGGACTCATCAAAGGCAGAAAGGATGGTTGCTGTAGCAGTTCCACTCCTACCTGTACTGTATTATTTGGTTGCATAAAAGACTTGGTGAAATTTATGGGGAAAAAATGATTTCCTCTGCTTAGCGCGATAAATGAAATTAACCCTGAAGCAACCTCAAGACCTGTTTCAGATTCCAGTTTAATGTATTTTCCCTGGAAGTCCTCTCCACTGTTCCCACTTTGTTTTCTTTTCAGAACATTGTCACGATTCATTAATTGGTCTTCATTTGGAAACAGAATTTTAAGAACATGTCTATAGACCTCTTCAATTGAGTGACTGAGAATAACTTCAAGGAGTCCAGGCACAGCTTTGCCTACTAGCATCTCAATTTCATCAGAAAATCGCAGAGCCTTTAAGGAGTCTCCACCACTGTACAGAAATACTGCATCTTTAGAAACTTCTGTGGAATCACCCAGGAGACCCAAAACAGACTAGAAAAAAGAAGAAGGAAAGAGGTAACAGTCCATGGGTGTTACACCATGTCACATACATAAAAACTCAAGCTGGGCAAAATCCACCTGAGTACCTGGAAGTCCCACTAAAAATCAACAACTGAGGAAATTCACTACTCTGGAAAAAATCACATGAAACGTGTTAGTGCCAGTAAAGGTAATGGTGGAACAAAAGTTGGGGAGGAACAGGGAAACAGGAGATACTAATTCTGTGCTACAAAATGTTCTGCTGAATTCCATTTCTGCAGTCTCAGAAATTAAAGCAAATTGTACTGCATTTTTGTTGGCTGTTTTAAGTATCAATACCATTTATTAATGACAACTTTGCAGATAAAACATTGATATGTTTTTCTAAAATTAGTTTAGTGGTTTATTTTATTAATAAAATATATATAAAATGGTATCTTTTACCTATTAATTATTTAAGTAACCTACTTATCTACCTACTTTTTATGCTTTTGCCCCTTCAAGTCACAAAGGATTTTGGATTTGCCATTGTTACTACAACAAAGAGCAATTACTATGTCTCCTGTCACTGCCCTCCCTTCTTGCTAAGTCTGGGTGGAAAGTCACAGACTTCCCTCTGGTTTTGGAATCCCCACTCTGCTGTCCATAATGGATCTAGAGCATGTCCCATCCCTTTGGGTTTCATGTCTATAGCCACCCATACAGTTAAGTATCAGCACAAGCAAATTGTGTTACTAATTTCAATACATTTGCTTGTTTCTAGCCACAGTAAATCCCACTTGAAACTTACAAGTGTATCTTTAAAAAAAACAACAAACAACACTGTTTGGCATCATATTTCAGTCTATCACAGAAATTTAGAAACAATACAGACAATCAAAGAGAAAAATACACAAATGTGCCATCTATTTAAAATAAACTCTTCAGAAAAAGAAGTAAGAAACTCCACTAATACTGTAGCTATTTTGTACAGAGAGTTTCCCAGCTCCTTGTTTCCCCTAGGGATACCTTCTTTTGCATGTGAAGCAGTATTCAAAAAGCTACTGACAGGTTATGTCCTTCCTATGCTAATTGCTTACACCTCATAGTTTAATTTGATACAGAAATGGAAATTACTCCCTCTTGGCTGCTGCAGAGTGACTATTTTTAAGTATTAACTGAACAGAAAGAGCTGTATCACATAAATCTATAGGCAGCTAGAATGTTCTGGTTGCATTAGTCATACTTCTTAAAACTGTTTAATCCTTGACACATGTACAACGATCCACTTGCAAAGATAAAAAGGCAGCTCAAAATACTACCTTCCATAAATACTGCAATCTTTCCCACAATTCCTCAGCGCCACTCAGCTCACTGTCACGCCTTCTGGAGTTTAGATGATTCTGGTAAATCTTGTTCAATTCAGATTTATCAACTTTGCCTTTGTAGAAAATAAAGCATGATTTTTTCATTGTTCTTTTAGTATTTACACTTCCAAAAATTGCTCTGTCCTAATACTCACTTTATTCTTGTACATGTTTTCCTTAATTCATAGTCAACTGCACCTGTACTCTTTTTATCAAGTCAGTTAACTACACAGAATCCAGTAAGTTTTTGAAAACTTCCCCTATCCTCCCACATAATCACATCTTCAAAATCTGATCTTTCCCCATCTGAAGTCAGGGTTCTGTTGCAGACTGCAACAGGAATAACTGAGAAAATAAACATGCAGTATGAATACTAAACTGATTTTATCACTACTCTTTGGCTCTCAAAAGAAATAATACCAAGAAAACATAATACCTGGTCATGATTTTCTACTAGGAGTCAGTTATCTAACATACAAATTTAAAAAGCATGAACCAGGTACTGGATTTTGGTCAATAAAAAAATAAATTAAAAAAAAAAAAAAAGGAATAGAGACAAATAAAAAAAAAAGTTTAATTTACCATGTGATGTTAAAGGCAAAGCTTTAATCAGTAAAAGCTCATCAGGGACTGCATGAGCTGGCAGATGTCTCTGGAGTTCTTGAAGTGTTTCTCTCTCTTCTATATCATCTCTGGGTACAACAAACAGGATAAGTTTTTCCTGCTGATACCAGGTAACTGCACAAGCTTCTACCTGACAAAGATCTTCTGCAGCCTGTAATTTAAAAATGTTGGTCTTGCTTTGAAATGCAGTTCATCAATAGAGTAAACAGAGTAAAAACCACAGCTTAAAAAAGTACACGTTTAAAATATGTATTTGTATTGCATTCCTACATAACATCCTATGAAATTTGTTCTCCTGTAGCTGAAGTTTGTAATTCTTCACATAAAAATAAACTCAGAGATATGTCTTATTTGCCTAAATGCCATGAATGAGAAACAATTAAACAGATTTCCAGGAACTCAGAACTAAACTCCTCCCTAAATTATGTGACTAGATTTTTTTAAAATACACCCTCTCAATTTCATTTAAACTCCTAAAAGTTTAAAAAGAAAATAAGAAAACACCTATTTCTGATTATAATGATGTTACTTATCCCTGCTCTTTTATACCAGCATGCTCTACCCACTGGATGTTATACTACCTGCTGCAAACATTCAACATTAAAACGTTTGCCATGACGTTTAATCTGATTGTCTTTCCGACCCAGGAAGAACAACTTTGCGTTCTGCACTCTTGCAAAATCCCCTGTTTCTCTCATTGTACCCTCAGGTACAGTTATTTCATCATCCAGAAAGCAGATGCGTTCTTCACCACCTGAACAAGAAAAGATCGTGGTCACATATATCAAATGGCTAACTGTAAATGAGAATTATAAGGAGTATTTTAATAAATTCACTTGAATTCTAACAGGCATTATAACTACCAAAATATTATTATCAATGTCTACACTTCTGCAATGTACAAATTTGGCTTTGCAGTTAATTCAGTTAATACTGAATTATTACTGAGTTATCCTCCCCTTCTACTCTGCCCTAGTGAGATACCATCTGGAGTATTGTGTCCAGTTCTGGGCTCCCCAGTTCAAGAGGGACAGGGATTCACTTGAGATAGTCCGACGGGGGGCTACAGGGATGAGTAAGGGACTGGAACACCTTTCTTATGACGAAAGACTGAGAGACCTGGGGCTGCTTAGTTTAGAGAAGACTGAGAGGGGATCTTATTAACATATATAAATATCGGAAGGGTGGGTGTCAAGAAGGAAGGCCCAATCTCTTTTCAGTTGTGCCCTGTGCAAACTAGAGCACAGGAAGTTCCACCTCAACATGAGGAAGAACTTTACTGTAAAGGTTACAGAGCACTGGAACAGGCTGCCCAGAGGGGTTGTGGAGTTCCTTCTCTGGAGACTTTCAAGACCTGTCTGGATGCATTTCTGTGTGATCTGCCCTAGGAGGTCCTGCTGTAGCAGGGAGGTTGGACTCGATGAACCCCTGACATTCTGTGAGTCTGTGAATCTGTGATACATGGAAATTACTTCAACTGAGAATGTCAAAATTGCAAGCAGGAAAAAAAAGCCAATATAAAGAAAGCACAGTCTGAAGTCAAAAAGACAGTAATTTCCTGTTCATCACTCAAACAACCTAAAATACTACGAGAAAGCTCTCAACCAAAGTTAAAATTTATATTAATCTCTATATCAGAGGCAGATACCAAGTAAAATAAGCAACATATTACTAAAACTCAATCAATTAATAAAAGTATCTTAAAAGAATTAGAAATATCAAATAACCTATAAATATTTGTCCCTCGCCTTCTAGAACTGCAGAACCGTTGGTATCTCTGACCTCAACTTTTGTTCCAAGGAGCGGTGATCCCAAAGGTATAGGGAATTCAGTTCTAAATACATTAAAGAGAGAAACAGTAAAAACCTTTCCCTTCTGAACACAAAACAACTGTTCCAGAAATGAGTTAGCATAAAGTCTCTTAAAGGATTGGTATTAGAGCAAAAGTAGATGCTTGGAGCTTCTCTCTACAAATTTTTTTCTTTAAAAACAACTCATTTTGTTCAAAATAAAAAACCTTATCAACATGCATGGGTTTCATTATCATATACAAAAAAATACCAAAACAAAATACAACATAGAATGATAGAAAATAAGACTTGAATGGACCTGAGGGTACCCCCAGGAATTCTGGTCAGTTTCTAAGTCCTCCGGGTTGAAATTCCCTTCAAGCTCAACCAACTTAAACACACATAACTGCTTTTTATTTCCCTGTCCTAACTAGTTTGAGCTTTTATTCTATTTTATTGCTGGTGTTGTGGCAACAGGTGCAGTTGACTGACTCTTTTATCGAAGACTGAAATAAAAGAAATTGTAATTTCAATTTCATGTATCTACTATAGATTTATTCCACTGAGCTGCTGACCAACTCCCTCCTTCCCCTTCATTCTCTAGCCTCTTCAAGCACTTGCAAATCTCCTTTATTGAATATATTTCTGAGTGGGAGTAGAGAATACTGTATTCTTTTCAGTAAAGCAAAAATTTAAAACAAAATTAATGTTAAATAACTTCGGTAATCTATAAAGACATGGCTTCCAGTTAAATTTCTATCATAAAAGATCATATTTTAACCTAAGAGTTCTTGTTCAACTCCTGTTACTTAGACTGTTGAAACTTCTCCTTCTCTCTGATCAACCAATTAATTCTTCATCTCAAGTTGACCAAAAAGCAGTAAAGTTTTGTAAAATGCATATTTCTGCTAAGTGAGAATCTTCTTCTTTTCCTTCTTCTGGTCAGTTTAAAAAAATAATTATTTGACAAACAGGTATGAGAAAGCATGACAGAGAGTCAGTGTGTCTGCTTCATACCATTGGGAAATCCCAACATAAGACAAAACCAAAAAGAGAGGAATTTAACATAACCAAACAAAACCCCAGGATTCCTACATATCAGAGAAAAAAAAAAAAAAAAAAAAAAAAGCAACATCCCATTTGGACATTATTATTAAGACACTTGGGATTAGACATTTAATTTTGCCAAACTTAGCTAAAAACAGAGGGGTGCAAGCCACTAAGGAATTAACTTTTTGCCAATTTTTTTTCTTTTTCTACTGTTCTCTAGAAACTCTGCCAGTTTTCAACATTTAGCTAGCAAAAATAAAAGCCCACTGTACTTCAACTGTCTTACCAATACTAAGAAGCAAAATGGTCTGTTCCAGTTTCATTGTATCTGGGGCTGCTTACTGCAAAGGAACTCTAGTTCCCTGTGAAATGAGGGTATGAGGGAATAGGCTCTGAGGTAAAGGATGGGAGACAACAGTCAAGAGACTATAAAACTTTCCATCATTTTACCTGTGCCTCAGTTATGCTTGAAGAACACATTATTGCTGGAGCACAAACGTTTGAGCAGAGAAAACAGCTCCTCTGAAAAGAAGGTAATGTTTGAACTCAGAGAAAACAATTAAAACTACTTTTGCATGACAATTTAATAACACTTTATGACTATCCGCTGTTTTCAGTCTTCAAAGGTTTAAGTACCAAGTTAATATATCGCATCATTTGTTCTAAACATTCAGTTTCATAGGACACATCTAACTCACATGTGTAATTATCATGCCAGGGAATAATTACACATTTTAGAAAGCAAATGAAACACTGAGCTAACTGGAAGTACCTTTCATGACCTTGACACTCCTGCAACTATCTTTATAATATACAATAAAAAGTCAGTAATTGAGTGAAAATGGCAGAATGCTAAATTATTAAAATAAAGTACTTCTGGAAGTCTATGTAAAATTAATGTGAGACCCCAAGTAAGTAACTTTGGACAGATTTCTGTCATCCATACTAGTGAAATGGGATAGAATGTATCCCACTGCATTCTGTAAGTGGGACAGAATCACAGAACCATAGAAAGTATGGGGCTGGAAGGAACCTTCAAAGGTCATCTAGTCCAGCCCCCCCTGCAGTGCACAGGGACCTTTCTGACTAGATGAGGTTACTCAGAGTCTCATCAGGCCTGACCCTGAATGGTTTAAGGGATGGGGCCTCCGCCACTTCTCTGGGCAACCTGTTCCAATGCTTTATCACCCTCATTGTACAGAATTTCCTAGTATCTAATCTAAATCTACCCTGCTCTAATTTAAGATCATTGTCCCTCATCCTTTTGCTACACACTGTTGTAAACAGTCCCTCCACAGCTTTCCTGTAGCCCCTTCAGGTACTGGAAGGCCTCCATAAGGTCTCCCCAGAGCCTTCTCCTCTCCAGGCTGAACAAACCCAGCTCCCTCAGCCTGTCTTCATAGCAGAGGCGCTCCAGCCCTCTGATCATTTTTCTGGCCCTTCTCTGGACTTGTTCCAACAGGTCCCTGTCCCTCTTGTGTTGAGGATTCCAGAGCTGAACACAGTAATTCAGGTGGGGTCTTACAAGAGCAGGGTAGAGGGGCAGAATCACCTTCCCTGACCTGCTGGCCACACTTCTTTTGATGCAGCCCAGGATGTGATTGGCCTTCTGGGCTGCAAGCGCACATTGTTTGCTCATGTCCAACTTTTCATTCGCTAGTACCCTCAAGTCCCTTTCTGCAAGACTGCTCTCTAACACATCAACCCCAGCCTGTATTGATAACAAGGGTCATTTACTGAATAGCATATTATCCAATATTAGAATAAGCAGTACCACTGTCTGATTGTTTGCACTTAATCAATTATTTATGGAGTTTTAAAAACTGTAGGCAAAAGCACAGTGGTAGTAAGAAACACGTATATCTATCAACTACATTTGAAAGTAACCTTTGTGCATTTTTACTTAAAATAAGTATATCTCAGAAGTAACATTCAGAACTTGATAGACTTAAGGTATATCTTTGTCCCAAGGCTATGATTAAGAGTTATAGAGCCCCATTTCTTTACTCCCTCTTACAACTGTGTTGTGTTGGGTTCCTTCTCCTTGAATATGCAAGACCTCACTGGAAAAGCCTCACGATGAGCAAAAGTATGGCTAACTGAAGTTACTAGCAATTGAGTAGAAGCCATTTCCCTGCAGAAGTGCAACACTGATTCAATACTGCCATGTAGTCAGAGACAGCATACGCTGGGTGGACTAGGCTAGTCCAGATTCAGCATGTGGAATCATGGGCTAGAATGAGGAAGAGGTCAACATACACTGACAACTAAAACAGAGGCCATCACAACACATGATGTGAAACTCAACAGGTATTCAACTACACAGAATTTCAGACTGCAGTTCTGTCATTCAAGAATTATACATCATTAACTGTTACGTGCAGGGGCTGTATTAGAGTACAAGAGGATGGATTAGTCAAATGTAACTTCTACCAGCATAAACACTCACAAGGACTCAGTAGCCCTGGAAAGAGGAGAACGAGGTTATATTTCTACTGATTTTCATAATTCATTTGCCAAGCCATGAAAACAGAAAAATTTCTTACCTAAAATCAGGACTAAAAACCTCTTCAGGAATCTTGTAGCAAGTGGCCCAGCTTGACACTTCAGTAATACCATATAGATTAAAAATACTTGTTTTATTCTCCTTGTGCTTCCAACTTTTCAAGAGATTCAGTACAGGAAATGCTTCACCACCAAGGGCTAAGACACGGAGTGAAGTATTTGCAGACAACACTGTTGATTTAATAATGTGAGCTCCAAACCTCCTGAGAAGTGTTGGTGTTGCCTGAATTATACAGATTTTAAAAAGGAGAGAAAGACTCGTTATATTTTTTCAGTATATGAGTAAGCCTCTTCCTGCTTTATCATATCCACTGCATAGCTGTATTGTTGATGTACTTCACAATCATCTGTGTATAGTCATCAGATGCCAATAGAGATTGTGCCAGTTTTTAAAATATTTTGTTTATTGTGTGAAGCCTCTGCTGAGCACTACCAGCATCACTCTATGTTCTTCTGCATCTTCTACTATAATTAGATGTGTTATGGGTTCCATGTTTTGTCTCAGCTATTACCTAAAGTGTGTGTACATGAATTCTTCTGTCAATTACTTTGAAACAGAAAGCAGCAAACGGTATTCTCTTGATGTCACTGGGCTTTCTTTCCCTCCATTCCAGCATGGTACAGCTAAAATATAAACTATACATCTGATTAACCTTCATATAAAAAATTCTAAGATCTGTCCATAACACTATAAATTCATAGGATGTAAGACTGTTTTTTTTCAGATTTGTGTAAATATACTTGTTTATAAAAATTAGTTTTTTTGAAAGCTTTGTAAAATGAACAGAAGAAAAAAAAACAAAGGAAGAAACATAAACAAAACAAATTTCTTAAATACAGCTAATTCAATAAAGCTATTGGTGATGTAGAGACCTTTCACTGAGGGGAAAAATTGTTTTAGCAAATTGTTTTAACACGCACTCAACTTTGCTCTTATTCTTACCTGTTTCTTTTCTAGTATCAGGACTGGGAAATGAATGTAATTATTTCTTACCAGGTTATTTTCTCCCAGTAATGGATGAAGACCAACACTTTTCAACTGACCATTTTAACTTTAGTAAATTACAGTGAAGAAAATAGGAGTTAAAAAATTACTCTTCCCCTCCCTCATAATCACTTTTCAGATTTCTCAGGTCTGTTTGAGCAAGTCAAGAGGAAAAAGAAATGCCTTGCTATAATTTAAGAAACATCATAAAATTATTAATAATCAGTTAAGCTATAAGGAGAACACTTTTGTCAGTAATTCAACTGAGAAGCCCTTCCTTCACTGATCAAGACAATAATACAAAAATAAATCACAAAATCCCTTGTATGTGACAGGAAAATATACCCCATCAAGATTTATAGCAATCCTAATAAACAAAAATAAGAGCAGAAAATAAAGTAACAGAATTTAGATTCTGTAGATTTTGGTGGCTTTTCTTCTGCTGCGGAACATTAAGCTAATTACCCGCTAATCTTAAGTTTGTACCCTACAATCTCCACTACCACAATTCCTCCAAAAGAAATGGAAACCTTAGCATTTCTACCAGTACAAACACTTAAGAATTACAACATTAATGACACACCAAGGCTTAGGGGTTGATTTATTACAGTTAACATACTAAACAGACAATAGTAATTTTGTTCAAAGCTGGTTACAAGTAAGATCCATTTCCAGCAACTCTTCCCCCCATACTCTGATTTAAGTTTCTATACTCAATTAACAGTTTTACTAAATGCCTCATTACACTACAAGCCAAGGGCTAGGCTTATTCAGCCATGCTGGCTACTCAAAACTTCTAGTAAATATTCCAATAACGAACTAAAAAACTAATATTAAAAAATTGAAATCATACAGTACATGACCTATTCCAAGACACAAAAGGCACATGTAGCCTCACAAGCAGGTGGCCTGAAAACAGCGAGTGTTGCTGTGGAATCAATTATTCTCCTGCTCTCATTATTGTAAAAATGACAAACATTTTATCACCCTATAAATAGCACTGGTTTAGTTGTTATATTTTGAGCATAGGTACTACCATTGAAACTTAAAAGTAGTTTATGAGGAAAAGCTCTAAGATCAAGCACATTTAAAGTGCTAAAAATGTCTGTAACAGATAAGTCCACTACCAGATTCTTCAGAACTACTTAACAAAACAATGTAATTAATTCTTAAGAATTAATTGTTTCTTAAGATGAGTATTAGTTTTTAGTTAATTTTTTCCATCACAAAAGGTCTAAGGCTTCGATCAAATAGTAATTTCCTAAACAGCTAACACACTACAGTAAGAAGGATAGCATGAGCTGTGCCTCCGAGGAAGAACACTCCCGCTCTATTAACATGAGTGTCTAGACTGATGAAAAAGTAGTACACATTAGCAAAGCGGGGAGACAGGGCACTGAAGACTCTTAGGATTTGCCTACCTGCAACACTGTCACACAGTGATGATGAAATAGAGCAGCAGCCAGCTCCACAGGCATCATTTTAATAGTGTTTGGTACTATAAGTATAGAGGCTCCGCTTGTCAGAGAAATGAATAATTCAACCACGGATGGGTCAAATGTTAGAGGAGAAGCAAGGAACAGTATATCATTCTGTGTGATCTCAAATATGGATCTAGGGTAAGAAATAAGAAACAATCAGGGATTACAATAATAGAATAAGAAAGCTAGGAATTACAAATCTGATGCATGCTGTTAAAAATGTTTCCAGACTAGCAGAGCAGCATAAAATAAATTTGCTCCAGCAAAGCTAAAGTCTTTAAGGCTACTCTGAATCTACAGGCATATGCAGATCAGATGATGTGAGCAAGAGCTCCTGCATCAAAACTGCAACTATTAACTTAATGAGGTCCTTGACAAAGATATTCACCACATTACACACTAATACAGTGTGTTGAAAGGCACATTTCAACTAAGGATTGCTCATTAGAAAAAAAGGTGTGGTATTTCCTATAGTAGATTTTTTTAGAAAGTATTAAATGAAACAGAAATAAATCGAGGTAGCCCAAAAAGAAATTAAGACTTAAAATCTACAGAATGCACTACATAAAACTGTGAACAAATAATTCACTTTGTCATCTATTTCTTTTAAGCTGGACACCAGAACACAATACCTAGAGCAACAGCATATTATTGAAGTGCACCCCTCAAAAATTCAGGTAAAGTACCGTTTAAATATTAAAAATAACAGCTAGAGAAACAATGTTATGTCATATTATTTAGAAACAAAAGAAACAACACTAATATCTGAAAAGGCAGGGAAGGAGGAAGAAGTGAACCAGCATTAGCAAAAAGCTAATCTACCCTTCTTTGATGTATTTAAAAAAAAAATAATTCCCTAAACAACAAATTTGTAAAAACACTTAAAAGGAAAACTGGATACCACACTTACTTAAGATGCTGAATATTTGGCACTATGCATTTATGAGGCACTCTGACTATTTTGGGTATCCCTGTAGTTCCAGATGTATGCAGGACGTATGCTAAAGAACACTTCTGGCCAACATCCATGTATCCTCCTTCTGACGTTTTCACTTTGGTTTGTTCTGGGCAAATAGTATATCCTGGCTGCGAGTTACCCATAGCTTTGGAAAGCTCATATTTACTTTGCACATCATCTACTTGTGAATTTAAATCAGCATTACTCAAGCTCATTTGGAAGAGAGTTAAACCAATATGTTCTATTGTGGAAGAATTGTGGTAAAACCAACCAACGTGGGACGTCTGGAATTTCTGTAAGAGAAAATAAACAATTTAAACAAAAGAACTCAGGACACACTGTTACTGTTCTACTGCATGCAATGAAATAAAAGATATCACTTCATGAAAATAAATTGTGATTTTTTTTTAATACCTCTACTTTTGGAGGATACACATCAGGCAGTTTTAAGGTCATGTATTTCTATATATTTATGAGTAAACATAGACTCTATAAATTAGATATAAAGACTTCTCTTGAGCAGATAATGAAAAGAAAGGAAAAACATACAAAAGAATTCTGGAGAAGACAAAGAACTCTGAATTGTAACTAGATAGTCCAATCTTATCTACTCCCTTTGCAATGAGTGAGTGTGTAAGATCTGGGAGGAGTTGTACAAAAGGAAACTAAACACTTAAAAGCAGTGGTTATTTTCAGCTGTTATAACAAAGACTTCCAACACTCAACTGTGACATACAAAGAAACAAGCCTGAAAAAGCCCTCAACACCAGTGCCCAACAAGTTTGCCTGGACAAAACCATAATAGGAAAATGGGCTTTTTTTTTTTATGTAAGGAGGGGGAAAAGCAATTTATACTTCTAATTTTAAAGATGTTCTTACCTGAGTGAGAAAGACAACCTGTTGTCATGAAGAAAAAACCCAACCCAATCCAACCTTATTAAAACCGAATACTATGTGAATACACAATTCTAAATTGTCCTTTAATGGTTCCTTTAGAATTCTGAACACTTACATTTATTTTGTCATTCTCAACAAGAATATACTGAAGATTGCTTTTCTTCATGAAGTATGTGGATAGCATTGGTGGTGCATCTGGATCAACAGGAGAATAGGCAGCTGGAACTTGAAGGATTCTACCAAGAAAAAAATGTTTAAAATGTATTATAATCCTCCTAAATTTCACTGTTTCTTTTACACTGCAATTTATTCCCAGAGCCAGAAAATGTAGTCATTACTTTTATAGATTTTTTTTATAAAGTAGGAAGCAAATTATAATCAGTGTTGCCTTTTGGTATTTTACAGCAAGGAAAGATTAAAGCTATATAAAATCATTCAAAATTATTCCTGATCAAACAGTGTGGTGATGACAAAGGCATTACTGACATCAGCAGCACCACTTCTTAAAAGCTTCTATTATTGACTAGGAAAAGAAATACAAGTTTTTCATTTATACATATACAACTTGTACACATATATTTTAACAAAACACCAAAAGTCTGCACACTGAAAACGCTTCCTGTTCTCAATAGTCTAAGACTCTAGAATAAGAAAATCTGTAATTTCTTCCACTATAAACACAGGAATACGAAGTATCATTCTGCTCTCATTCATTGCACTTTATCGACAGTTGCCCACTACAACTCCTCCCTCTAGTGGCTCCATTTGATAAAGACGAGCAGTTGAGTTTATTACCACCGCTGACATTAATAAATTCCAAAAGCCAAGACGACCAAGTGGGGACTAAAATAGGAATGGTTCCCGCAAATCTTCATACGTGGGTGGGTTCCCACGCACAATCAGCTGTATTTAGGCTTTGTGCAAGTGACTTACTGATGCAGTAATGACTAGATCCAGAAAGAAGACTTGGAAACTGCAGCATTTCATGTAGTCAAATAGCCACTGGTATCAGTACACACTCAGACTTGCCCTGCATCATATACAGCAGTTTACTACTCAGCAACAATAGCTGTAAGAATCAAAACACCCCAGTATATCATAGCAAAACACAGCAGAAGAAAACTGTGTTTCTGTTCAGTTCATTGGGACACAGGATAAATCAGGCTGGAAGGGACCTCAGGAGACCCAGTCCCACTTCTTGCTCAAGCAAGGCCAGCTGTGACACCAGACCAGGTTGTTCATTACTTTGTCTAGTCAGGTCTTGCAAACTTCCAGTGGCAGATGCCTGCACATCTCTGGGCAACCTGCTCCACTGCTGAACTGAGGGAGAAGTTTTTCCTAATCAGTGAGAAAGTTCCTCAGCACAGAAATCTCTATACTCCACTGCGATACCTCATCTCGCACTATTGTGTATTTTAGGTGCACTGTGACAACAGGAAAGTACTGACACAGATCTCCCCCCTAGGAAACAAAGTGGCTGCCGTTTACATCAGCAGCAGAAAATATGCTTGTGATGCTGCAATTCTGTATTACATCATAAATGTAATGGATATAATAAGATACATATATGAAGGATGTAAACACTAAAATATTTCAGCAGAGCAAGATTTTTTAAATTGCTGAATTCACATGAGTACTGAGATAACAAACATGCCAAATTCCTAGCCATTAAATAATCAATGTCATCTGAATGCTGCATTGCTCATTACTTTTTCCTACAATACGCGTAACGGAACCTTAACTATATACTCACTTAGCTTTAAGCATGACATTTGTTTTTCAATGAATCTTTTTTTTTGCTAGCAAGACAGGAATACATTAAAAAACCTGCACACTCCTTTTCTTGTATATATACATTTATTCTGTCGGAGCCTCCATTTTTAAACAAGCACAACAAAGATACTCGTTCATTTTTTTACATTTCTGTAAATATGCTTAATCATTTAAAAAAGAATACAGTTACATACACTTTAGATCAATGAACTTAAGATTAAAAAAAACTTCAGCTGTGGTTTTTCCAGATTATAACACTGTCATCTTTTTTATTAAAAAATGTAAGACTCTGGTGCTTCTTAACTCTATTATTATGGTATTACTGAATTTTTGTTGTTATTAAAATATAAACAAGCTGAAAATTTACTTTAATAGAGATGACCCTCAAAAAACCAACTCAGATTGCAAGCATTCCAACCATTACCCTAAGATCCACGACGGTAAGTTTATTCCTGGATAGCAGTAAAGGCCTATTTCACATTTTCCTTGCTGACCACAGTGCTTCTGAAGGAAAGCTGTTAATTCCACGGCAAGCTTAACCACTGTCGCATAGGTGTAGGAAGTTGGAGGTTTGTTATTGCATTCATCAAACCATACTGCTTTTCTATTAGAGTACAGGTCAGCTGCCTGATTCACAAGTTCCTGAAGAGTCATCTTAGCTTCTTATCTTCAAGCCCCCTGAAAGACTAACAAACAAGACTGTGTTGTCATTTCCTAACTTTTAACACTTTAAACAAATCATGTAAGCCCACAGAACACTAGCAAGCAGGAAAAAAGACACTTGGCAGAAAACACACAGCTTCATCACAACTTACATGGCAACAGCGTAAAGCTTAGTCACAAATCATACAGCATCATAAAATGGTTTTGGTTGGAAGGGACCTTAAACACCACCCAGTTCCAACCCCCAAACCTCCCACTAGGACAGGTTGCTCCAAGCCCCATCCAACCTGGCCTTGAGCACTTCCAGGGATAGGGCATCCAAAACTCCCCTGGACAATCTGTGCCAGTGTCTCACCACCTTCATAGTGAAGAAATTTTTCTAATGCCTAACCTAAATCTCCCCTTTTCCAGTTAAAAGCCATCACTCTTTTTCCTATCGCTTCAACTCCTTGTAAAAAGCCCCTCCCCAGCTTTCCTGCAGCCCCTTCAGGCCCTGGAAGGCCGCTGTGAGGCCTCCGCGGAGCCGACTCTGCTCCAGGCTGAACAAACCCAGCTCTCTAAGCCTGTCTTCGTAACACTTTTATCCCTTCCCGTGGGTGTCACCCTGGGGGCCAGGATACAGGAACTCACGACGACTTCATCGCACAGAGGCAGTGAGCACAACGGAATTAGTAAGTTTATTCGCGCTTTCTAATCAATAACTTTCTCTCTAACAGAGCTGTGAGATACGAATCTTTCCTTCGCAAGGAGAAAACCCAACGCGTCCCCCTCCCCCCAAGGCCTTTCGGGACCAAGGCCGCTGCCCCGCGGGGCCCTCCCCC